GATTATCTAAAGTTCAGTAGAGTTAACGGGTTGGATAAAAATAAGTTGTGAGGTAAATGAAGAAGTTTAAGGTGGTTTAAGAGGTTAAGAAGTAACGGAATTAAGGCGGTTTAAGGGGAAAGAAATAACAGAATTAAAGAGGTTTAAGGAGGTTAAGAAACAAAGTTTAAGAAGGCTTTCGTTTCATTTCCAGTCTGCTGGAATAATAAATGAAGTGAACAAATTTTTGTCTGACTTCAGTTCCTGCAAATTAGTCCATAGAGAACTACGTTTGCATAAATATCCGCAGTCTAGTTGTTGACACGTTAATTGTCGGACGGTTTTCGTACGTTTCACCCACAGTGCAAAGTGAAATCTCAGCTATACGGAGTATACAGGGTGTTCACGAATTATATAAAAAAATTTCTGAAATACAAAACTGCGTCTGAATAAAAAATGCAACGAGATTGAAGGTATTTGGATATGAACTGTTTCTCAATATTTTGGCGTCTAGAATCTACACTGTGGAAATGTGACATATTTTTGGTAACTCCATATACAAGCAGAATATGTTATACGAAAGTATTGAATTGAGGTGTGTTATCGTATTGGCATGTTACTGGCTAACACATTAGCTAGCTAGCATTGCCATGTGAAATTTCGGTTAGGTCTGACTGACGACAGCTAGCTAACACACAGCTGACACATCTTTGCTACCTGTGCTATTTAGTGTAAAATTCCGGTTTTATGTCCCAATATTAATGGTATCATTTTGTATTTTCTGTATTCGAGACTGTAGCATGAAACTTTTTAACACGTCGACTGCCAGACCAGTTCGAGTAATAAATTTCGAAAATTTGCTCGATTTTTGGTACCACAAATACCGGAAAATACACCTCGAATCGATATTACTTGTGCAACACAGAGGTCGGTATGTCTGAAAATATTTAGCATTCCCGCGATTAGAACTATCGATAACGGCTCTCCATCGATAAGTCGTCGCTGCAAAATGTTTTGAACACACGTCGACGATAAGGTTATTTAAAAAAACCGCCGTTTATCCGCTTTTCAACGTTAATTAACTATCGTAACTTATAGACTTTGCTATATACAGAGTGTATTCGAAATCGGGATAGAAATCGAGGTGATTCTTTATGAAGAAAATAAACAAAAAAATATGATAATTTTTTTTTGTACATAAAACTTCGTTTTTGAGAAAATCGAATTTAAATGTCTGGCCTTGCACTATTTCTGTTGGTATGTCTGTTTATTATTGGTCGTTTCTACTTATCGTAAGCGGAAATGCAAGTATTACAAGTGTATCGGATGAATTTTGGCTGTTGATTTTCTCGAAAATGCACCGATATGTATAAACATACCAGTTGTAATGAATTCAAGGATCTACATTGTTTCATAAACATTAATTAATTTCTAAATATTTCTAGAACACTTGAAATTGTATATTTGCAACCAAAAAATCCCTCCCCCCGGCAAAGTGTTTTAATTATTATATGCAGAAATATGTGAACGAACGTGTGAGTGATCGTGCATCAAAATAATTCATTCGAACAAATTTTGTCAAACATCGTCAAATTTTCTGTCTCTTTAAACATTCATAGAAAGTATCCATCTTCGAATCCACACGTTAATTCTAACAAAAAAAAAAAAATCGCCACCACATCACCTGTTGTTCGATAAAATTTCCATCGATAGATTCGAAAAGATTTCCAACCGATCCGATGGATTCGAAACGAGAATCGATATCGTTTCGCTCCCGTGCCGCACGGGATTATACTTCGAAGGACGGACGATAGAGATTGAATAACGATTTTTTTTTCTCTCCTCCATATTGCGGTTATCGAGCGATATTGTTGATACGAGGCTCCGCCATTACGATAAATACAGAACTGTATGTACGGCGTGCACCCGTAAAAACCTCGACTTTTCCTTGTAATCTGGCCATGCGACAGGGAAAAAAACCGCGATATAACATCCCCGAGACTCTTCAAACGGCGAGGTTTCGCGAGCAATCAAGTGTTCGGCTGGTTGATATCGACGATCAATCGCGATTTCTACGGAAACGGTTCGCCGATAGCGGCCGTGCGACTTCTCCGTTTGCGTTCCATCGCGAACGCCCACCGTTCCTCGCGTCCACTTCCTTTCTAACGTCGGCCGCCATAATTCAATTATCAGTCAGGAGTTGGAAATGTTTTTGTAGACCGTGTGAAACACCGGTAAAAAATAAAAAAAAAAAATAAATATGACAGCCGTTTACCCGTGGATTAGAATGACACCGGAACTAACGATAGAGATACATTTGAATTGTATCGATATTTGGTATCGAATAACGATCAATTTCTGATACGAAAACTTCGTTTGTTTTTAAGTAGAAAGTTTCCAGGAGGATCAAGCGAGCATTGAATGTGTTTGCGTCTAATTTACAAGTTAAAGTGAGTAATTTTAATGCGTAATTCACTGGGTGATAAATAATATTTGTGAATGGTAACCAGAACAGTTTGCACGTGATTTGTATGGTAATGCGTTGATAACGATAAAAAAAAGTCTCGAAAAGACTGAGTAAATCCTTAAAACAGACAGAAACAGTTACTTTATTCCCATTTTTGGTAATTATTCTAATAAAAATGGTAAATTTACATAAAAATCGTAACCTAGAGTCAACAATTCGTAATACATACTGTATGTTTCCAGAATAATGAAGTTTAGTATCAGCCCTAACAATTCAGTAAACGTTCTCAGAAACGGACACACACGAAAATAAGCTAGTTTCGATGGTCAAATCACTGTTTTAAATAAGCCCTCCAAATATTCCTTATTTTTTTCACCTCGGTATATTTAACGTTCTACTTTGTAGACATTTCGGTTGTAGAATCTTCTAATAATCTTCAGCGTGGAAAATCAACGACTATTAACACGTTGACTGGCGAAATTTTCGCTCTTAGGTCAAGTGTCATGACAAAACACATCTGTTTATTCAAATGCTTACTATTACATACTACCTACAAACTTCATTAATAATATTTACACTACTACTATTATTAATCTTTCAATAATCCTCGATACATCAATCAAAACATTTCATTACAAATCTAGAATGAAACTTTCTGTTGATTCTTCTTGTTTAATAATGTAAATAAAAAAACTATTTAAAAAAAAAAGAATAAGATCCTTAAGTAAATAAACAAGAAAAGAATAGAAACACAATAGGACATAAATGACTGATCTTTTCGTTCATTTAATTATTGTTTCAATCGTTAAGTAAATAAGATCCATAAGTAAGTAAACAAAAATGGAAATGAATCACCACATGATATAAACATCGATGTTTTCCTGAATAAAAAACATCGATTATACGCACAAGATCGTAAACATTACCGTTTAGGTATCGAACGTTTGTCCGATTTAGTAGCGGCGTCGGTAACCACCAAAAACGGTGGTCAGCCTGTCGATATTAAACCACCCAGATGAATACCGAAGTGGCTCGCAAACAAGTTATCCAGGATTATGTTCGGTTGGCCATAAACTGCTTAGCCGCGTTAGTCATTATCGACGCGATTAAAGCGTTTCCATTTAAAGAATACTTTTTTTTTTCATCGAAAATCGCCGGTAGGATAAAAAGAGCGACCCAAAGGCCGTGTTTTACAGTCGAGGAACGTTCCTTCGGCCATCGAGATCGTGATCGACAGGTGTAAGGATCAATTCCGGTACAAATTGCGAAACAGTTCTCGCTGTTCAAATTTCTTTCGGGTGTAACCTCTTCAGGGACGAATTTATTAAATTTTTTTTTATTCTTCGGTTGTATTCAATTAAAATATATTTATGAATATTAACGACAATCTATTGGTACAATATCCTTTTTTGGATGGTTTGGTTTGTTTCATTAGTAACTTGGAATCTTATAAAATCTTTAATAAATAGGAGCCTAGAAAAATTTATATTTAGGTAGATATTATGATTTTCGTAGATATTACAGAGCGTGAAGCCAAAGAAATGTTTACTTAAGCATGTACACGCTAACGTTTGTAACTCGATACAGTAAAAAGTTTAATAAACGTCACTCAAAGTTTTTTTTTTTTGCTTGGAAGCTCGTAGGAACTGTAATAAATCGGACTTCGTAGAAATCTATATATCATATATTTGCATAGGTGGTATGATTTTCATAGATCTTAACGTGGTATCGTAGAAAAATCGATTTGAACAGTTTTGTTAATATTAAGTTGACTAAAAATCAGAGTTTAATTTTTAATTATATTCTTCATCAGGGAAACTTGCAAATTAATTTAACATCAGTAGTTTACATATATAACAATCAAGCAACACGTATAAGTAGGTATATTCCTTCAATTCGATTTCAACCAAATCTAATTCAACAAATAGTAATATTTATCGAACGAGATTTAATACGTTACCCTAAAATAAAATTTTATTTCTCCATAAACGTTAAACGTATACACGTCTATGTGATTTTGTCACGGGGTCACAACCGACCCATCCATGAACCCCAACAATCCACACCTCAAAAGTAAAACTTAATTAAAACACCAGAAAATAAATTTTCCACGAAACCCGATACTATTCACAGAAAATCTATAAAATTCCAGGAGAACACTTTCTGCACCAATTCTACACGTCGCCATACATCATTATCCCTACCAATTACCCCGCCTCATCAGACTCAACAAGGCCACCCCTAAACCAGACGCGAACCACTTCATTGTCAACATAAAAACTTTCGAATAACGTACAAAAACATAAAAAAAAAACTACCTCGTCACTTTCGTATCGATTCCCAGTAGAAATTCCAACTTTTATAATAGCACTTCTTCTTGAATGAGTAGACACTTCGCAGACAATTACTTAATCTCATTAACGGATTAAAGGTCAGCATGACGTTAATAGATACCGCTGCGTTTCACTACACGTACCATTCGAATATAATTCTGCCCAACTATAATGCAAACAACGGAAAAAGGGAAAAAAAAAAAAAAAAAAAACAGACTCACTCGTAAGTTCGACCAGCTCCACTCGTCGAGACTGCTCGGCGAGACGATCCTTGCGTCGTCCACCATCTGCAACGAGTTCAAGGACGCCCGTGTGACCAGTTCCACGTCCATCCTTCCCCTATGTCGGGTCTCCGAAACGACGTCTTATTATCCGTTCTTGTGTATGTAGTATGTGTACTCGTGGTCACTCACTCGACCGACGTAAAGACGAAGCACGAAGACGGCGACGACCCCATCGCGGCGATTCGATCCATCGCGGCTACGATCCACGGGACGACTGATCGTACGTGGAAAAGTGAGTCACCCCGTAGCCGTTGGCCGGCCGGTCGGCTTGTCCGCCGCGCGGAAGGCTTCGTCTCTCGTACGTCGTCGCCGCGGCCTCTGAAGCCCACTACCGTTAGAGCAACGCTTTATCGTGATAAGGGAAATGGGCCACTCCAGATCACCTCGTTCTCTTCCCCTCCCCGCGGAAAACGCACACACTGGTCACGGTTTTCCGAGCTTTCGGCCCGGAAACGGTCGCGATAAAGGCCCCCCTCTGAAGCGTATCGTACTCTTTGGTTACGATTCGGAAGGTGTTTTTTTCTTTTTTTTGCTAATTTAAATGCTATCTTTCTACAATACGGTTGGTGATTTTTGATGATTCTAACGGTACCTTTGTACAATTTGGATGGTACCGTTTTTGTAATTCGGATGGTGCCTTTTTTTATTCGGATGGTACCTTTCCGCAATTTGGATGGTACCTTTGTACGATTTGGATGGTACCGTTTTTGTAATTCGGATGCTAGTTTTCCTGGATTCGGTTGGTATCTTTCCACGATTCGGATGGTACCTTTTCGCAATTCGGATGGTAACTTTCTACGATTCGGATGGTACCTTTCCGAAATTCCGACGCTACATTTTCACAATTCGGATGGTAGGTACCGTTCTGCCATTCGGTTATTACCATTCCACGAATCAGATGCCACCTCTTCGTGATTCGAAAGATACTTTTCCGTGAAGTTTCGCCTGTCACGGAGATCCCTTTGTGTTTGGCCAGCGCGCTTCCGTCCCCTGATCGTCCTCCACTGGAAGCAAAAGCGAGACGCCTGTGAGTTTTTCCCGTGACGAGGACATTGGTAGCGGGTTTTAATTGCGGAAAGTGTATCCGAGAATGACGTTGGAGATAAGCTTGAGTTAGGTGTAGAGTGGGATTTGGAGGATATAGCTGTTAACGTAATTGTAATTGGATTTCCTTAACTCTGCTACGGTTCTCTAGTCCAGCTAATACAATAAGGGTAGGAAATTGGTCTGTTAAGCGGGGACTACTCTACAGATACCAGGAACAATTCAAAATCTTTCCTTTTTCAACTTTTTCAAGTCCCTGGAAGTTAACCCTTATAGTACCTTATAAGCTTTTCTATTAAAATCACTTCGAGAACGGGCGTCTATATTAGAATACCCTGTTAATACCGGAAATAAAATTCTGTTTCATTCTGATTTTTAATTTTTAATGTCTAAAATTGTGCAATTTGCATAAAAATCCACAGTCTAGTAATCTAATAATTTGATTTCACAATTAGTATAGTTATTGTTTTAACGAGAAATGGACAGCTGATCTGTTACCTTCTTCTTCTTATTCGAAACGTGTTATCTGGACAACGCATTCGCTCGTCGCTATTGTCAGCCAGCACCAGGACATAGTGGGGATTGTGATATGAATATAAGGAGGTCAGTGACTGTAGAGAAGAAGTGTTCTATATGTATGTAGAATAATATATTATAATACTACATATTATATTATATGCATATAGTATATTATATAATAATATGTCAAATATTAGCGGATATAATATATACTTTTAAGGACCACACTTCTAAACACAATTATTAGTTTTGATAAACACGACTATTTTATTTCTGTAATCAGAGCATTAAATTCGATTTTCTGATATGTTATATTATTTATATTAGATATCTTTTATTCCTCCTTAGATTTTCTTACATTCTTATAATCGTAACAGATCGTATGTGTACTTCGAAACGATAGATTTGATGGTAGAATTTTTCGGAATGCTTGGTTTGCGTAACATCGACGTCTTTCGAAATACGGATTACCTCACTCGAGTAGGCGAACCTCTAATTATTTTGGGCAACGCCGGTACAAGAATGGAAATCGTGAGTTACTCAATGAAACACTGACTCAACCACAGCCGATCTCACAAAAATTTCCTACAAACACTCGACCGTGTAACAACTGAACTTGCCTAAATAAAAAGAGTCCTATAAATCAACTGGTTATAATATTTATAACTAAATCTAATCGATTACTTTTCTTATATTGTGATGTAACTACTACTACTTTAGTAACTATACTAGTAACTATTCTACTTTCTACTACATAGTACGTGAAGTAACTATCTAGTAGAAAGTAGAATACAAGTTAATTTAAACATAACCTACAAGTTAATCGAGACGTTCACTCGCCGAAGTAATGAATTTTTAACAAACAATAATTCTGCATATACGAAAGAATGTTTTAATTTTCCCTCTTATTTAACAGCTCAAAGATATATAACCTCTTAAGAAATCAATAATACGAATATTGGCAGGAACAATGTCCAAGATGAGTGTCAGCAAAAGAACGACGCACGTTATTCCGGGAACCGTGCAAGCACAGTTGGTTTAACGGTATATACCCGTTATTATTACGGATGACTTTCTCCGTTGGGTTCACGTTCAACGCATCTCCATCGAAAAACCAGTTTCGTGGTACGTACACGCATAAAATCGAGCTCCGATGTTTTTTCCGTTTCCAAGAGACTTGTATCCCCCTCGTGGATCGGCCGTCTCGAATTTACCGTGATTCATCCCACGGTCGATCTCGATCTACGGCCCCCCTCGCCGATCCCTGTGAATCTCACGGCATTGAGATCTCGATCGGTTGACCGTGACTCAAAGTTTGTACAAAGACACGCGGCAGCTGATACGAATCTTAACACAGCGCATTCCACGCTGACGGTCGCGATACTTCTCGTGATATATCGTGAAAGATACCGGTGACTACTATTTAACTCGGAATCCTACTCGTTTTTAGGCACTGTTCACATTAATTAAAATTAAAAGAAGAAATTTCGATTTTATAAAAGTCTATTTTAGCTATAGTTTACTGGGGATGGTTATTATTGTAACTTGAATTTATTCCGATTAACGTCTGGATCCTTAAATCGTTATTGAAAATTGTGAGACTGATATATATATATGCTATATGGTTTACAGTTATCTTGATTATAGATACATGTAGTATGTAGACAAATATTCTAGTAAAGGGACATTCCACATAAAACCAGCCTAGATCGAGGAGCCACGCATTTGATTAACCTAGAACCTAGAAACTCGATTCGGGTCATCCCAACAACAGTAGACTCGTATCTGACATACCTGGAACCGAAAGACTCGAACTGGACCCACTGAAGGCATTCTGGACCGAAGGACCTAAGCCTGAGACCCCTTAGACCTAAGACCCCAAGCCTGAGACCTCTCATATCTAAAGACTGAAATCACAGATCCCCCAGACCCCAGAATACAAGGACCTCCTAACCTTAGAATTCAAGAACACAAGCTGAAGACTCCTCAGGTCCAGAGAATCTCGAACTTCTATCCCCAGGTCTGGGCAGCCTAGGGCTTCAGTTCTTGATTTGAGTTCCCTGGCGTCGATTAATTCCGATCCGAGTTTTTTTTTTTGTTTTAGATTAATCTACAGATCTACATGCTAATACGAATACGCTAAAAGGATAATCAACGTCACGATTCGCATGAAACTCTACCGCCGTGTTATAGCCTATTTATCCATCTACGCGAAAAGAATAATGAATGATGCATGGACGAGCGTGATTGAAAAACCCGATGGCCTCCCACCGCGTGCTGCCATGCCGTCACTTAGTCTCTTAATCGTGGAATCTTAATCACATCCTGCATTTACACCTTCGTATGCGAACAATGTCGCGAACATACTCATAAACGCTCCACCTTCCGGATCACTTTAACATCCCAAAACCGTGCGATCCACGGAACGTATGACTCCCACCGATACGATTGGTCTGTTTGTCTAGGGATGTTTTTCTGGTTAGCAGATTATATACGCTGCTCGTTATAATTAAGGGATCACCTGCTAATATGACTTTATCGTCCAGTAATGTAGTTGATACACTTAAAACTCGCACGTTCTACACAAGGCACGTAATTTTAAATACAGTGGGTGATCGGTTAACGAACATAATCCGTTCAAAGAAAATGTTCGTTAACCGATCACCCACTGTACTTCAAGAAGGAAAAAGATTTCCCACTATAGTCCACGAAGATTCTTTTCTCGATTGTTCTTAAATGAATAATAGTGAAAGTAACGAACGAAATATAAAGGAAAAACGAAGAATATGTACACCGATTCTAAATTTTCATGTGGCGCCTCGAGTGTGAACTCGGAACAAAAGATATAGGCAGTTCAAGGTCACCCAACCGCTACCTACTCCAGCTGCGCAGTGACACGAAAGATTCTGCATAGGGGCGCTGGCATAATTTCAACTCGACCTTGCGTAAGAGCTAATTAATCACCGGTACGTGAAATAAAATAATTTTCCATAAAATTCCACTCGAACGACCAATTTATACTCAGAAATTTGTCCAGCAACGTGTTCTTGTAATAACGTTTCAACCGCATAACATGTATGTACTATGGTTGTGAAGGTTTTGGGGTCTCCGACGCGGAGGAATCGTCTTCATCGATCAAAATTTTTGACAGAAGCATCGACGACTGATAATCGCATTGTTAGATTAACAACCCGAATAATCGAGCAAGCTGCTGAATCACGCAATCGAAAGTAGAAGCAAAAACAGTGTCCCTCTTTGTAATTTTAGAACGAGGAAAAACCGTTGCGATACTGGGTCGGTTAGAGGTATGGGCTGGTGGTTTAAGGAAAACTGAGGGAATATTCAATCCCGTTTATTTCCCACTGGCCGTTATATTTTAATCAAAAACAAATTCTTTCGACAGAATAATATTAATAAACTACTTCAAAAACAAAAAGAAACATTTTCTCGATTCTTAGATGCTCAAACGATTTTCAAAAGCAATCGTTCTCGTCTTTAAAACTCACTCGAACGTATCTCGAACGTAATTCTGTTATATTGACATTTAAATTGAGCTTTATTTAAACGCATGACATTTAGTGGCACTTATACTATTTAACTAATTTACATCATCAATTACCGCGCAATGTTTGAATGTCATCGATTATGCGAGAGTCAACTGTTTGACATTAGTGTTCTATAATCACAATTTTCATTATATAATTTAACAACCATTAACACATTATATGTATGTACGTAATAAAATTCGAAGAGATTTTTCAGAGAGATCGATTAATCGAACACGACAATTACAGTCTACCATGAAGTACTTAATGCATCGATACACAAAGAACGTCACTTTGAAATTTTCATTCGACCCACTGTACACTCGCGAGCAAATCCGGCTTCCACTAGGGGAAAAAGTTGCGTAGGGGAAGTGGCCCCTACAATTTGGTATCGGGAATTATTGAAATTTATACCAAATTAACATTCGATTTAACATTCATTTCAGTACTTGAAATAAATTTACCAAGTGGTAAGAGATCCTTCTCCTACGTCACTTTTTCCCCTAGCGGAAGCCGAGTTTGCTCGTGAGGGTACACCACCAATCAATGTCGAAAAAGAATATTTCACAACTTATATTAATTCTTTTTGTGAATTAATAAATTATAATATTATAATATACGATAACTGAACACTCACCGAGATCACAGGAACGTTGTCTCCACCCCGTCCTGTTCGTAATTTCCGCCAAAACTGTCCACTATAGCGGGCACGAACGCGCGGTTTCCACTACGCAGACACGTTGCTCGGACAATTGCTCGGTGGATCGGACGATTTAGCCGCAGTGAACGGTCGCGCGCAATAAACCACTTTCGTCTGACGAAACTTTCCACTAGCGATATCTTCATGAAGCATGGTAAGCTCGGAACAGGTAGACAATCGAGCCCCACGAACATGGGTCGTACACCTACGGCTCCTTTTCGATTCGAGTCATGGTGGAGATCCCAAGGACGCACGGCCAGCATCAAACACACTCGATACGAGCGTACGTACAAGGTGTCCGAAAATTTGGTCGTTCCACGGTGTTGTTAAAGCGCTTGGCACGTTCCAATGACGATTATGGTGTCCGTACCATCGGTGGTCGATAACGTTAATCGATTCCTCGCGAGGCAGCGTGCGATTAAGGAACTGTCACCGTCACTACTGAAATTTTACAGTTCAATTTGTTCGATGAAATATCAAATATGATTTCTAGTGTATACAGAAACGATCCAACTATCGAATATATTTCGAGATACAGATCGATTATTGAAATTCGGATATCTGATTCCGATGATTTATTTCACTTGTTCGTTTTTATCGTGAACGGGGTCGATTTATTATTCGTAGAACGGACTTTTTTTTGTTATTTTCAATTACGAAAATTATGGTCGTAACGAGTAGATCGAAGAACTGAACGGAAAATGTGTGTGTAACTACGAGCGGTGTGGCCAGAAAAAGCAACGTAAGGGAATTTCGATACACCGTGTATGTAGACGCGTGTGGCTATGGGTCTAACACACGTTCGATCGTCGATGACTAACTCACCCGGCTCAATGGCACGAAAAGAACCTCGACAACGCTTTATGACTTCCGCCGTCTCGCTATCGGAAGGTCGTCGATCGGACAGATTTGTATTAGCGGACGATTCGCGAAAACGGCTCGTATCATCTGGTCATAGAACTCATCGTCACGGTATACGTGTACGGAACACTTTCTCCCAATGTGTTGCACGGCATCGTGGGAAGTGCACATCAAGCTTGTATCTCGACGTAGTTGCGCGATCATTCTCTTATTTTACTGACTGTTTCATTGATTCTAATCGATCCTGTTGGTCACGCGTGGACTGACGTTTAGTATTTTCATAGAGATTCGCATTTTCATAGGCGAACTTTTAAAAAGTACAATTAAACAGAAACTCATTTTCTCTATTAACAATATTATTAAGCAGAAAATAAAATAAACACCGAATCGAACTGTATTAATGTTTCGATTTTTATTGTTTTTTATTTGGCTGTACTGTCTCGCGTCGGCGTACGTACACTTTCGAGTTACTTCGTAATCCCGCGCTTTTTGCGTATGTAACGTCCATATAACCGTGCGATGCTTGTAAAGCCAGTCCACGTGATCGTTCTCATATTACTGAATATCAATGCCAGAGTGGGATTTCTGTTCCTTGAACAGACAACGGCTGACACGTGCTGTATTTTCTCCAGCACGTTGGCTCTCAAACAGATTGACGTCATGCTTGAATAACTTAGTTTTCGTGTTCATGTGTACACCTGGGATCCGATCGGGTGTCTAACTGTCCTTCTCCGGGACCGTTTTTCAATATATCAATTTGATCGGTGATTCGTACAACTGAGTTTGTTTTCTGAAGTTGAAAACTATTAAACTTGACACGAATAGTATATCACTTTTTATTCCACACTTGTGAATCGTGTAAAAATTTTACGTTAGCACTTGTTGGGGAAAAAATTAGTATTCACATTCACGGTTATAACACACTTGATCACCTGACACGTAACGTTGAACACTGATTCGCATTGAACACCGTCCTTTTATCAACGTTGCTTGTAAAAATACAATATAAACAGAAATCGTTGTTTTATGTAACCGGTCGATAAATGTTTATACAAATTTGCAATACTGAGTACTTGTGTTCATTGTCGAGATCGTATACGTTCAGGTAAGACGATGAGCGTTCGACTAAACTCACGATGGGTCGATGAGTTATCTCACGTTTCTAGATAATATATCGATAAGGTCACGCGGAGACCGATATCTATATCTGCGCAAATCCTATCAATTTTGCTGTGACGTTACTAGTCCACGGTGCAACATTCATGTTTTTACTGTTGTATAATCTAAATGTATAATTTTTTATATCTCTAATAAAACTGATATTTAAATGAAAGAAGTTACATATATGTTTACAATACTATTGTTAATTTATATTCCCGAATCATAAAATTTACACGCATAGCTGAATATTCCCTTTTGTAATACCATTTTATTCACAAAGATATTCAACTGAAATATTTTTCGTATTTATTTAAGCAGTGCAATTTCGGAGATGACAAAGGTACCAGCACTGGTTTCCGGAAAATATGCGGTACAACGGTTTTATTTCTCCAGATAATACATTTATGTTCAATGTATACATTTAATGCTTCATACTGCACCGAATATTCTCAGTTACAAAGAAACGCGAGTCACGATCACCGAAGTGCGTGTGCTCTTTAATAACAATATTTCTTATGTCCACGCCATAAGAATTAGAAATCACCGGTTTAACGCGATTCTTTAGCAATAATTTAACATGTTCGAGTTTACTGGTTAGAACAATTTACAATAATACAATTAATTTTTATGCAGCGTTTTCAGAATAAAAAAAAAAAAAAGAGGAATCAATCAACAGACTAGAATTTAACATGGACTGTCCAATCCTATTATATGTATATATCTCCGTATAAGAACTTCTGTGATACTTTATTGTGTACGGTTACGAAGTGAGACTTATTTCATCGCTGATTTAATTAATTGCACTTACTGACAGATCCGGTGTCATGGTTTCGTGATCAATTTTAAATATATATATGTATATATATATATAAAAGATTGTGAACTAGCACAATTAATCGGAAAAATCTTATTATATTATGTATAATTTAACAAGAAAATGAAATACATCTTCGAGACGAGAATATCTTCACATATCAGTCTGCATGTCTCATCCAATGCGGAACAATTAATGATCGTTGTTATCGAATTCGTGTCGAGATCTAAGAAAATATTTGTTGAACTTTTGTCCCGACCTCTACTGGAAGCTCGGCGTACATGGAGTTCCATTCGTTTGGAAAGTCTCGCTGTGCAGACTTGATAAATTCCATTACGAAACTTTTTGCCTCTGTACCAAAAAAAAAAGAAACATAAAGGAATAAAAAATGTTGATTACAAAATAAAACGGGATAAGAAAATATGATGAAACGTACCGTCATCAGTAGCACTTTCCTCGTATAATACATTGACCGCTACTTTCAGCAATATGTGCATGTGCGGTTGTAAAATGGAATGGCCAGCTTGATATAACGTTAATATACTTCTAAAAACTGCTTTGTTCTCCTCAAAATCTTCTTTCAGCGGCAACTGGCTGACGAAAATTGGAAACACTTGCTCCAGACAAACACCCTGGTAATTGGTGATTATTAGTCGTGCAATTGCACCGATGATATTATCACGGGCTCCTGCGTGAGTTTCTTTGCCAAGCGAGTTACAGAGAAACGACACAATTTCCTCGTAACGTCTACGAAACTATTGTTAAGAAATACATCGGTAACATTGTTTGCTCGAATTTTTCGTGGCAGTACACGTTAAAAGGATACGGATAAACAGCATCTTTGGCATGTAGCGCGAGTTCACCGATTCCGTAAATCGCATTATTGCGAACCTCGTCACTTGGATCATCCACAAGTGTGAATAACAGAGGAAGAAGTTGATTTATGAACGCAGCATGTTTAAGCCCCGCGAAAGACTCTGCAATAGTCCCTACAGCGAACGATCTCTGCGCTTCTGATTTGTTCTTTCTCTGAAAAGATTGATCAATATAGATTGTAATTGGAAAACTTAGTATTAATCGATGATCAACTCTACGAACGTAGAAGCATACCAATCTTTCTAAAAGCCTCGGCAGGATGGTTTGGAAAAAAATTGCAAATGCTTCCGGAGAGATCACCTTTCCTAAATTGGTGAATACATCGCCCGCGCATTCAACTAATAATTCATCTTGCTCAGCTTCAGTCTCTACTTCCTCTGTTTCTTCCTGATCTTGACATTCTGTCTTGCCTACAATAAATAATGTTCTAGGTATAAAAGTATTACTAAACCAATAAAAATGAAATAAGTTTACATTAAGTACTAACCTAACATAACAGCTCTGATGCAATTCTTTATAGCGTCTTTATGGCCCTCTCCTACAAGAACATCCGTCTTGATTTCTTTTAGAAGTTCGGCGAAAGCGTCCAAGCCACTAATTACCACACTTCGTTCGGTGTCTAGTTGTATTAACTCGGACAATTTTGGTATATACACAGAGAGAGCTTTCAACAGAGCTTCCTTCCCTTCATTGGTATTGATTTTCGAGAAATTTATACAAAACTGTAAGAGACCATCGATGGCAGCTTTACGGATATCCTCTTGAGGATAATTGATTAACTTAAATGTTTCTTCGAAAGATTTCTGGAGATATGGTAGGAACGCTTCTCTATAATGATAGTGATAAATGTAAAAATGATATAATATATTGTTATTAGATAAAAGTTAGATGTTTTACTCTGTATGTTCAGCAATTTCCTTTAATGCTAAAATTGCTTCTTCCTTCTCATCAATGTACGCATTTTCAACGCTATAGCCTGCTACATCATCGTCATCTTCTTCATTATCTGTATTCTCAATATCTTCCTCATCGTTTTCATTTTCACTCTCGCTAAGATCCTCATAAACTGGAAAAGCTGAACTCTCGTCTTCCTTATAATGGGGCTGCCAAAAACCGAATAACGTTATTATAAATGAACATTTCATTATTTCTATCTCCTTTTTCTTATAACTTACATACCACTATGCCTTCCGAACTCTGTATACTTAATATCATGTTCTCGACAATATCCGGCAAAGCGGACGCCATTTCCTTCTTCATTATGGTACTGATTGAGGCGAATAAACCGAAAATGGACTTCCTTAAATCTGGGTCTTGTGTCTCCTTCAGTAGATTCAGTCCAAAATTAAGCGACCTACCGGCCAAAGGTGCAAAATTTTTGTCGCCAATTGTTCTTGCAAGCACGCCAAGAGTGTCTGTAACGACGTAAACAATCTTAACGATATCAAACTGTGCATATACGATATTGCATAGTTCAAGATACGTTTAGCTATACGAACCAACTGCTTGTACTTGAAGACACATGGTTTCCTGTGTTTGTTTTTCCGAAAGATAAGTGTCCAAAATTGAAACGATCCTTTCAAAGTACGGCAACATGTGCTCCTTACTGGCTAACGCTGCCGAACCAATGGCGCTCAGTGAGAGTTCTCTAACGTGGATCGGGGTGTCAGCATTTAGAATTTCAAACAGCCTTTCCATTAATGTTGGTAAATACGGTAACAGACTTTCGTTTAGATTTTCGCAAAACATTTCTAATGCATAGAACATACGATCGACCGAAGGCGGTGCTTTCTTCTCTTGTTTAATATGAGCACATATTTGACCAAGGTATTCAAACAATACAGGCAATAAGACTGAAGAATATTTAGAAATGTCCGGTTGCAAATGTTCAGAAAATTGTCCAAGAGCAAAAAGGGCGGCGTTCCGCACGACGGGAACAGAATCGGTGATTCCCTGACAAGTGCAATGCAAGAAAGACTCGAGATACTTAGTGCGGATGTATTCGGAACAACCTTCTGCTAATACAGCCATTGCTAAATACGATGCTTTTTTTGCATATACATCTGTTCCCTGAAGACCAGGTTCAATGTACCGCAGCTATAAAAATGAAAGAACAAAACGTTAAATCCTATCGCATACGAGAAATTGTTACACGTGCTTTAAATCATACCAATTGAGGAATTAATTTCTCTGGCGGTAAATGAAGTGCTAGTAAATCCACAACTTGGGTAGCACAAGTTACAGGTGTATTGTCCTCATTATCAGTAAAGTAAACTTCATCCTCGTCATCCTCTGGTCGAGTGGACATAAGATTGAACAACATATCTGTAATCGACGAAACACGGTTACAATAGAAGATTAATCTCCATTTAAAGAAAAAGTATTAGTTCTCTTACGTACTTGCATGTTACTTACCTATAACAGGTTCAACGAGCTTATGTTTTATCATGGCTTTTTTCTTTGTCCTGGCTAACCATCCGATAGAAACAACTGCTTTAACTCTAAGAGCACTGTCCAATGACTTGTTACCAGCAATAGCAAGGCACATACTGACAAGGAGTTTTACATGAGGCGCTATCACGGCAATTGCATTTTCGCATAGTTCGTCTACTAGTTCGAAGCATTCAATAGCTTTGTCTTCGTTAGTAGTAGCAAGAGACTGAATTGTAGCCATTACCTGGGGCAACATCTGATGATAAGCATTCACCATCTGTAAAAGTAATTTTTTAAGGCAACCTGATTTTAGATTCAATTAAATTTTATTCGAACTGGTCTTACCATCTGATTATTTTGAACTAAGGGAACAAGGTTCTGTAATATTCGTAGGACATAATATGCAACAGGATTTCCCAGATCTTGTAAACTGTTCAATGTTTGACCCATAAGAACTGCAATTGAACCAGCATGTGTTTGATATGCATCAGGTGCAACTTCTGTCATAATTGACAGTGTGTAGGTTCCCAACTATAACAAATTTGTGCCTCACCAAAAAAAAAAAACAAACGATACATGCTTCAAAAGCTTTACGTATTCCATATTTTTTTATACCTCTTTTTCAGCCAAATTTTCACTAGTAATCAACTGTTGTACAAATTGTAAAACCTCAGGCCATTCATTATTAGGCAATTCGTGCTTTACAATTACACCTATTAATTGTGCAATTGCATTTTTTACAAATTTCTCTGGTTCATTAATTAAGGCCTGGAATATGACAAAAATCATATACATTGCTGCATTAATAACATGCATTTTAGAATAATCACTATTTACCTGTAAAATTACTGGTTTGAATTCACTGCGTATATGCCTAGGCAATTTTAACCAATGTTTACTTTTACCATAACGTTTCCTGAGTAATACAGCTGCATACTGTCGTATCTAAGAATATATAATTTTCTTATTGCAAAAAGTTTGCAAAACACAGAGCACATAATAATAATAATACCAACCTGTGAATTTGGTGATGATATAATAAGTTGACATAATGCTGGCGTACTCTCTGGTTTTTTAAAAGCTTCTCTGAGTTCTGCTGTTCCCTAAAAAAATATCATGTCAATATATTTCTTTACGTTATATCAATCGTGAAAATATTTTATTACAAGACCTTGAAATATTACACGTTAATACGCAAGACGGATGCTTGTCCTTATTGAGAAAGACTTTGAAGACTACATGACACGCATATAAATGTATCAATGCTAATAAAAGAAGGGTGTTTAAGAGTTAATGATAGGAAAGTATTTAGGGTATTTTGTCGATTTAATGCACAAGGAAAACAAAGCGTTAGTTGATATAAACTATATTTATTTAAGTATTTAAAGCGGTTATCAACCATACACCGAACACGTGTTTCGAACATCATATAATATGCTTCTATTATTAATTGTCACTTCTTTAGACATACCTGTTGTATCGTCGAATTATCAGCTACAAGTAACTTCGATAATATTTCCTCCATTGTTGGTTTAATATTAATAATAAAATACAATGTATTCCTAAAGTATCTCCGCACAAAGTAGCCGGTTGTCTACTATCGCTGCTCTGACCTGTTGGTGTCCATATGATGTGTTACGCGCGTGCGTGTACGCAACGTATAAACAGTGGAGAAACTTTTTTAAGATTAATTTGTCCTTCCACAAAATGGTTTCAAATGTTTACAGTAAACAATGATACATACGTGATTTAGTTTAACTATTCAAGATGTGTATATTACGTTACATCTCATAATTCTTTTTATTTAAAGAAACGTATCTTGTTTTAGACGACGAAATTCTTTTAATTGACTGTACAATATACAGTAATGCAGATGGCACTTCAGGCGTAACTTTTTACCGATCGAGTAGGAAATCCTTATTTTTAAAACTTGTACATACGTCGTCGAATTACACTTCTTAGATTAATTATTATTTAATTGGCTATTTTAATAATAGTTCGCGGACAATGTAATTTCTGCATCTCGCAAAAACGATTCATCGCCAATTTTGCAATGATCAATATCATGTATTTTGTTAAATACAACCCGATAGAAATAATGTACAATGTTTGAAGAAATTTTCATAGCAATTCAAATGAACCGCGAAAAAATTTGTAACGAGTGTTGCACTTGTGCAGAAGGAAACAGTCGTGCCTGTGACCGAGTGAAGAGCATAATCGGTTTGTAATTAAAGAGTTGTATTTAAAGAGTCTTGCACAGACCAGGCATGGACAGGATTTTATTTGAATAACAAATGTCCATTCAGTATACTACATAAACGGTACGTAATACATTGTATTGTTTATAATTACCTCGCAAGCTTCCACTCGTTCAAATTGAATAACGGATAGAAACTTCTTTCATTTCATTCGTATGAAAAATTTCACTCGATCAATAGTATATATCTACCAATAAGTAATCTACTACTGTCTGTTTCGATACTTATTTTTAAGAAAATCGTAAGTCTACGCTGTCCCAATATTACTCCCATATGTCCTCCTTTTTAATATTGGTAATTTAAGACTATGCTTTTTAACATCATGCCTGTGCAGTGTAAGTCACGCGGACCGTTTGTTCCGAGTTCGCCTAGTCTCGCAACGCGTTTCGAACAGTTTATTATTTTAGAGCGAATCCCTTCCACCCTTTCACTCGATCGTGCCCTCTCTGTCGCTTTCTCTCTTTCCGTGAACGCTTCGATACGGAGGCACCTTGAGATAATGCAGTCTTCCAAATTCCTTGGATCGCTGTTTGAAAAAATTCACGTACGCGTCGGTTCGTGGAAAACGTTGAATTTTCACTTAACCTCTATCGTTATTTTTTTAATTTGTCAGAGAATTCACGTCAGTCTAATCGCCCCCCACCAATGATCCTCGTTACATCGATGTTAAAACCGTTCTTTCCAAGTATCGTAATTTGATAAAACTGTTCAGTCAACTTGAAAACCGTCCATAATTCTTCGTTCCCTTATCCACTAGATTAACTATCTTAAGTTACGTCTCAAGGACCGTGTCACTTGTCTCTCGGGGAGTTACGCTTGGTGGAAGTGGATCCTTAGATTTGCCACAAGTGGACCGTCATACATGTAAGTATAATTTCGGGTTAAAAGTGATGCATTGCAGTAGATGTCGCGACTCGCGTATGATGACCGAAGGACACAGATCTTGTTTACCGATGAATCGATGGAAATTCGAAATAATTACTACATATAGATTCTTAAACTTCCAGGCGGGCACTTGTGCAGTGTTACTGGAGTCCCATCTTCAAGGAGTATCCTGCGTTAAGATGAATGTTTCACCTACGAGCAGCAAACTGGAGTTAACGTGAGTGATTAACGAAATCTTTACACTTGAAATATCGAACAATTACTATTCTATGCTAGTTTGTATACTGTTCTAATTTCTGGTATAACGATAAAAGGATAATTTCGTTCGGTTGAGTTCCGTGAGCTGGTAGTTTAGCTCGAAAAAATATCGCAGAAACGCCGAGCTCGATGAAGCACAGCGGGGATAGCCTGTCAACGGCGTCATTGAGTGACTCCTCTTGCACCTCGTGCATATTCGTCGTCTGGTTTACGTGCATTCCAGACGACTCTGCAGGAGGACTGGCCTCTTTTCGTACGAATTTAGTATCTGGATCACGTCTGCATCTACGAAAAAATTGGTGAACAAACCGATTCATGCGACGCAAAACAAAATTACGTATAAAAAAGTGTTATTTTATTAGAAACATTGAATTACCGGATCACAGATGTGACTTCAACTACACCTATACAAATCGATCCTCGCACAAAGTAGTCTTATGATTCAACATCCATAAGTAATTTGCGACTAGAATCTTTTCAGGTCGAACGATTTGTAATCTGACTTCGGTAAAAGGAAAATAACAGGTTAGGTCGAAAGGAAACTTTAAGGATCGTGTACATTTGCTGGTATCTTTGAATATGTTTAGCGTTTGAAGGTTATTCTTTATTACTCGAAGATCGTTTTAAGTTTTAACAAATTGATATTTAACATATAAAACTTTGAATATGTTTAGCGTTTAAAGGTTATTCTTTATTACTCGAAGATCGTTTTAAGTTTTAACAAATTGATATTTAACATATAAATAAATAAAGTTTGCGGGGATCCCGTGGTATCATTGCACGACCGGATTAGGGGCATGGGAAAAGTGTTCGTTGCGTATTCGAACGCGATAAGCGGTCTTAATCTTAACGCGAAATTCATGTCGATGATGAATCTGTTACGTGTAAGCAGACACCACATGCGATCCGCCGTCACGCGTACCCGTTCTCTAATTTATTACATAAGCAATCGTGCCTTTTGATTCTCTGAACTGATTCAAGGGGGAATATTATCGGTAGATTACCGGAGGCCTGAATAGTATGGGACAACGGGACCGCTTATTCGGATGACGCGCAATGGCCATTTGCAATTGCAATTATATTCAAACACGCGAGTGTAGTTACATACTGTTACAAATAAACGTTGCAAACGTATTAACAATGTACTACGTACGTATTTAAACAGAGGTTTGTAGCGGGTGCTCGGTACACCAAACTCCAAATTTTCAATACAATCCACTTTTTCAATCGAATCATCGAGATTCTAGTATTTGTCGACTATTTGTATCATAAATAGTTCATATTTTCTACATAAAGGAGAAAATACTTGGTACTTTCATGCCGCTCAATGTTAGGATATACACTACCCTGCTCGTAAGTATGTTCGACACTTGGTCTGTACAATGAACAAGTGATGTTTTCTAAAAATCATATATTTTGGGCTATATTTATTACTTCATAAACGTCGTTCATCGAGCTTCAATATTCCCTAAACAATATTTATTTCAGACTTTCAGCAATTTCGTAATTCCTGATCACATTTACTCTATGTTCGATACGTGTCATGTTTACGAGCGGGAGTGTACGTGGCGAAGAGAAAAGAAAACAACATGGCGGATGGAGAATTCTCTGTCAATTAGTTCACCATTCTTCTCACGATTAGTATGTTTACTATCAAATTACAATCGTCAAGTGTTTCGTTCACATTAGTAATTACAGTTACCGAAATTTATAGTTACGAGCCACCAATAATTTCTTTGAACTTACTATCCAAAATAGCGATCTGTTACTCCCACAGCTATTCAAGCCCCGTCCGTTGTTTCTTCTCCTTGACCGCGATAATGCGATCTGGATCGAGTGTCGCCTTACTATTTCGAGACGGTAACAGGGGGAATCGATTATCGGGGATCTTTCCGCGAAAAGGTGCGACACGTGATTTATAGGAACGTGTTCCCGAAAAAGAGGCCCCGGGGGCCGGTGTATTTGAACACGTGACCGAAAGAACGTCCATATTACTCAAATAAGGAGTATATATACGTGTATCCCAGACGAGCCGAAGCTCGGACGTGTTCGTTTTTACGACAGGGACCGTTGCAACAAGCTGTTTCAATAGAAATCTGTCGTACACCGGTCTCCGGTTCAGTGCCATCGTTGACGACCGCATTATCTTCTTTATAACCTCCCGCCGTTGGAGGATCTAGGAGCTACCGGGAGATCCTCGAGTTCGGACCCTTTTACTTTCGTTATTTTTTGCTTCTTCCGCCACGAGGAAAACGTCTGAGAACACCAAAAATGAGAATGTTGTATGCATCCCCTGGGTCGTAAAGCGTTACATTTAAAGAAAATCGTCGAGATTTTTTTAGCGAAAAAAATAATTCGAGCCACTAAAGAGTGGAAGAGCTGGAGCACCGACTCTTCGCGGGTCTTTGAAGTCTTTTGAGTTCGAATCTTTTTGGTTACTGTGCTCGCCATGGGGAAATAAATTTAAAGAGAGCAGATATTTTGGGTTCGGTTGGTCTAGAATATTGAAATTGGAATTCTTCAAGTTAATAATAATTTGTACTTAGACTCTATAGATATAGCTCTAAGTATAGAGGATCTAGAGTCTAAATCCATCGACAGTTTACATTTTAGATTGTCGATTCTTTGACATTTTAGAAGAATTGAGGTTCGACTATTATCTATCTTTCTTTGCTGTCGGTAGTAAGTTTGAAATCGTTTCGAAATCTCTGGAAGTAAATACTTTTCGTGTGATCTAACGAAGAAACATCACTTACTCGAAATTATGTTCAAGCTTCCAACTGTCTATTTAATTCTACAGAATTCTTTAAGGCTTAAATTAATAACATCTATCCTTCGCTATAAATATAAATAGAGAGATCTACGTGCACAGCGATTCCCAGCGTCGCGATACAGCTTCGATCGATCCTTGCGCACTCGATCGTAAGCCCCTGTAGGGCGTTTAAGATACCACGATCGTAAGATCCTACCTCCCTTTCCCCTCTTTTTTTACAACTCATACATATACATTCCTTCCTATAACAGAGTTCGACCGAGTTTCGACTCTCCTCGCACTGTTTTTTTTTTCCTTTTTCATTTTTTGATAGTCCGGCTACTGGCCCCACAAAATAGTACGTGTTCTTTTCGTTCGTTTCACTCCCGACACCAGCACCGTTCTTTCACATGCTGTACTTGATCTGATCGTAGTACATCGTCGACGACGGCGTCGTCGTCCCGTGGTGTATATTCGACGGAACTCCGCCTGGTATGTTCGATATGCTCAGACCGCCGATGTTGCTCAGGTTCAACGAGCCCAGGGAGCCCAACGAGCTCAGGGTGACCGATCCAGCAGCTGGATGGCCGAAGTACGAAGGCTTCCGGTCGATCAGTCCGCCACCGGAGCTGGTTGAATTCGTGTTCGAGCATTGCATCTTTATCCCTGAAAGAGAAAGAATGTTATTTATATAATTTGTAACATCATTGAGATTCAAGGGGGACATTTCGTTTTTTAGGGGGATGGACTTAACCCTTAACCCCTTTGGTAACCTAGGTAGCCTCTTAATGGGCTTCTGAATTTCAGTGGTTATAGATAGGAATTAATATTGCCTTTAGATCAGGGTTAAAGAGGAAATTGTTACGTTATTCGGTTTAATTATAGTTTCTTGGCTGTTGGTCGTTGGATCTACTAAACCTATTTAGGCCAGCATTATACAATTTTTTTAAAGTGCTCACTTCAGTGTATATATATATATATAAAACTATTAAAAGTAGTATATTTTCAGTGTATATTTTTTTTATACAGATGATCTCTTTCGTTTGTACTACTAATGAAAAGAAAAAATACGTCATAGACGAGAATTTCAAGAAATTTTGTATTCTATTTTCGATTTATTTCTTTTTTTTATGTAAAATAACTCTACCGTTTGTGCTACTTACGGACACAAAGAATATTTTACTTCGTTCTATCTTTTCTCGTCTCTTTAATCGTCTCTGTGAGCTGCATCTTCGAAGAATCTTCCCGTATTGCGAATATTGAGAAGATTCTACACTTGAACCGAAGCTTCCAACGGTTCAAGTAGCGCGTCCTTGAACCGGTGAATTTTTCGAAAAATCTCACCGGGGACCACACGCAACGGAGTAGAAGCAACGAGAAAAGAGACAGAATATATCTCACGATACGAAATCTGTCCTTGTATGAGTATGTAGGTACGATAAATCTGAAACTCCGGCAGCTCTCGAGCTCGGTTCTTCCTCAAGTGACCACTTCACTCGTGTCTCGACGACCGTCCTCGTCGTCCCTGTTCAACTTTCTCTCTTTCTCTTCGATTCGTTTTTTTCTGAATTATCTTGTCCCATGAACGGTCACTCGATTCTCTTTTTGCAACATTTCTACACTGTTCTATATAAATTTACACGAACCAAAAAGTATGTAGAAGATCGTTTAAATTAAACATTTTAAAAATCCCCGACACGGAGGAATCTAAAATCTTTATTTCCTGATACGTTGTAATCATTGAAACCCGATAGCAAACCACATAGCACTAGTTGTGCAGAATTTTATTCGAATAATCCACAGTAAAAACCAGCAGTATCTAAGGGTGTCCTTATGAGCTTCAGTCAATGAGATTAAATAATTGTTCGACAAATGTCGATTCTTAAAGAAGCATTATTTTATTATATAAATCGAAATATTCACGTTTAAATAATTAAAAATGATGAAATACTACTAGATAATGAGTTTACCCATCTCTGTTTCCAGGCCACTGTGGCACCGTATCGAAATCATCGATCATCCATTATCCCAAAACCATCGGATCCGTTCACGTTCAAGCTGTTCCCCGGTTACAAACTACAATCCATTCCTTCCACCCGTCTCGATACACCGCGAAATAGACAGGGGGGGGCCCCACCCTTCCGCCCTCGCCCAACCCCCTCCCCCTTCGCCACACCCCTCTCGCCCCACCCCCTTTTCCGGCTCACTTCGCCGGTTTCAGTCAGCAGAAGTGTAAACGAGATCAATCCGCAGGCGCCTCCTCGGCCGGGCCCCGGCACGTTATATTCCCTTTCTTTTCTCTTTTTCTACACAGGTCCCCTGGATGTATTTCTGGAGCGATCGTTCTACTCGCGCTACTATATGGGCATCGTTGTGTTGTAGCTCGCGATATTCAAGCTCTGGATCGTGGTGTTCTTCGATCTTTTTTACCGTCGACGTTTTCAACGATGCACAGAGAACACGTACGGTACATTTAGGATAAAAGAAAAGAGAGTAGGACAGCGGTGGAGGGGGAAGGAAGGAAAAAATTCGCGCGAACGCTACGTTTTGGTGGGAGGGGTGAGGGGGGGTGTGGTCGGGAAACCTCTGAGATGCGGAGGCAACGGGGAGAGACTTCTGAGTGACGGCTCTGGCCATTGAGACCACACACGACTTGCCTGGTCTACGCGCAGTGCCGGCGCCAGGTTATTTTGCGCTCTGGGCCAAGGCTAATTAACGAGATCCCTATTTTACAACTTAGTCACGTTTTCGTAGAATTGTAAAAAAAGAAAATAGTTTGAATCCATATATTTATTATCAAATGGTAAAGAAAAAATGTAACACATAGATCATGAAATTGAAATTTAATGTTTCTTGCCTTTTTCCTCGGAAAATTTTCTACCAGTTCCTTCAAATCAAGCGTTGAAGCTTGGTCGTATGTACATTTTTATTTATTACGTTAAACAAAATTCTGTTATTATTATAATGCTGTAATTCTACGAATAAAAATCTGAGGGTCAAATGGTCGGAAAAGTAGATAATTTACGAGATAGTTCAAAATTGTAAAAAAATTTGTTTACATGCTCTGGTACCGATTATAACAGTGATTCAACAAATCAGTGGCTTGTTATAGTAATCTTCGCTACCATAAAATCCCCCCTCTCCTGGATCGAAGCTGGTTCCGTGGCGAGAGGTTTAATAAACGAACCGGACTAGTGTTTGAGGTAGCCACGGTCGATGTACTTAGATTAAAGAACGATCTTGTTTACGCCACTTGTAAATGTTTACGCGATAAGCGATTCGAGACCTCGTTTACTAGCACGCGACTGCCGGTAACCGATACAGAAAGAATGAAAAAAAAAAAAGAAACGTGTATTTTCGTTTCTCACGACCATTTGTTTATGAACGTAGTGTACGTTGTTGCATTCATGGAGGCCCTGGTTCATTCATAAGTATCAATCGAAATTTAAAGCTTTTAAGAATGTTCTGTCAAATTTTCAACTAAATTTATATTTATTAAAAATTTGCGGAATCCACCATAAGAGAGTTCCAGAGTTGACATCTTTCGTTAGTCTTTTAGAATGTGACAGAAAGATATTTAACGGGTGTTTAATCGCCACGTTCCAGCCCTCGTGGAAACAGGGGTCGCCACGCTAAATTAATCACACAGGAAACGCGTGTCCCCCGGAATTTCGTGTCACCGTGCTGCGTTTACACGTGTTCGGTTACCGGTTACGAATTACGACTTCTCGCGCTGGGCGTGACAGAAATGTCATCCCGGCTAATAGGTCCTGTCAACTCCGGTGATTTCGTGTCTGTCGGCCCGCCCGAAGAGCACTCTCACCCCTGTTATTAAATGGGAATCACTTTTACGTCCACTGGTCCCGTAAAATGATTTCTAACGATCTTGGAACATTATTTTCTAGTCCTCTATTCCATCGGTATAGGAAAAACATTGAAATAGGCAAGCATTGATTAGGTTTAATCCCCTAATAACGACGTGGCGAGACAATATTGGGTCAATTGTAATCTGTACCAATTTTGGGTCAAATACTGATCTGTACCAATATGGAGTCAATTGTGATCTGTACCAATTTTGGGTCAATTGTGATCTGTACCAATATGGAGTCAATTGTGATCTGCACCAATATCCGATCAAACTGTGAAAACTTCAGGCTATTAAATTTGAATAGTTTTTTTTAAAGATGATTTCCTAAAAATGGGGATGGGAAACGTGTCGAAACACTTTGTTCTCGAGTAGCCTACAGTTTCGGTATCCGGCGCCTGGACGCTCGTAAACTGTCTACGGTTTTCCAGATGGCCCCTCCCCGACTGTTATGAACTGTCACTGTTGTCCGCAGCTCCGAGATGTCGAGCTAGACTCGCGAGTCACGTCGAAATATCCATGTCTACGAATTCTACGAATGTCCCGCGACGAACCGTGTAAATCCAGAAAGCTGACATGTTTCAACCCTACAATACTCTTTTAATTTCTTCCGAATCAATGGTCTTCTCCTGCCTTTAAAATATGATTTAAATTTCACGAAAATAATAGGTTGAGTCACGAATTTCGTTTTCCCTTTTTAACTACAGTTTAAGGTTAAAGACGCTCCTAAAATTAACATTAATACATTGAGCGCCATGTCGGTGATAGTAAATCTTCCGTTCAAGCTGCGTCGGTCACCGATGACCGACATAGCACTGTCCCTCCCAAGCTCGTTTCTGTGTCATATTTTTTGCAAGATTTTCTAACATTTGTAAATAACTAATATGTAATAATTTTTTCACAAGAAATTCTCAAACTACTCCCTTATAGCGCTGTTCACAAAGAGGTTAACAAACCCCCAATCAGAGATGGGCAAACTCATTATCCAGATAAAAAGTATCAAATAACCAATAAAAGATAAAAAAAGGTATTTCGTCATTTTTAATTGTTTAAACGTGGAAATTTCAAGTGTTTATAATAAAATAATACTTTATCAATGAATCGACATTTCTCGAACAATTATTTAATCTCATTAACCCCTTGGGTACGGATTTATTTGAGAAAATATTTGCATGTGGAACGGAAATAATTTTTGGTTGCTTGGAGTAGTATGTAAAGGCAGTACATTTTACGTAAGAATGTATTTATTTCTAAAATATTGGTGACATATGTAGTATTAAGATGTCTTCAACTAATTAGAATTGCAAAACAAAAATAAATTAATAACAACAAAATAAAACTAAATGAAATAAATTCAATTTATAAAAAAAAACAATTACTAATAATTATGCAGAGTGTGATATTTTTATTGATGAATGAAATTGATCAATAAAAAAAAAAAAAATGACGTATCTCAGATGTCAAATGTACCTAAAAGTTTAATTTTTGGTTTGACGTCTTAGACACGTCATCCGCTCTTAGGGGAAAAAAGTGAATGACGTGTCTCAGACGTCAAATGTACCCGAGGGGTTAACTGTTTAAAACTCCGGACGACACCCTTAGATACTGCTGCTTTCCGCTGTGTATTATTCGATTAAAATTCTGCCCAAATCTGTCCCCAATCAACCACGAATTAACACCTCAAAGAATCCATCCAATGGTACTCACCATTATCCGTGACAGGTGTCTGACAACCGCTATGAGGCGAACTGACGTTGCCCCCCACGGGGCTGCTGTTCCCCGTCTCGTTGATCCCCTGCATAGCGACATTCACATTGTTACCAGTGTTGTTCAGTCCGTACCCCACGTAATAGTCCTGCCCAGGAGTCTGAGCAGTGCTTGGCGTATTATTCGATTGGCACTTGTAAGTCATCATGGTCTCGTTTTCCTTGTAAACCGTTTCCGGATGATGCTGTTGATGATCCTTCACGGAGAATCCTTCTGTGGGCCTGTACGCCAGTGGATCCTGACTTCTAGGGTAACCAGGCTCGCTTTTGAACGCCACGATCTCGCCATTTCGATAGACCGACGGTTCGCCAGTTTTATAGGTGACCTCGGTGGTCTTATAAGTCACCTCTGCGATGGGTGGAGTCTTGTAGGTCGCCTCTGGATAGGCCCAGTCCGCCGACACTGCAGCACCAGGAGCGTACATCGCGTATTCCTGATAGTTCTGATACTGATTCTGATAGCCATTAGGGTACTCGATTGCTCCAGCTGTCAGATTCTCGTATCCAGGTGGCTGAACACTTACTGGGCCAGTTCCAGCGAAGTACTGGGGATACTGAGGCTTCAGGGCTTGGCACTTGCGACGGAAACCACGGGGTCGTCGACGGAACCCACCTTCCTCGAACATGTACTCCGTGGAGGGATCGATCGTCCAGTAGTGTCCCTTTCCTGGTCTACCTAATCCTTTGGGCAGCTTGATGAAGCACTCGTTGAGACTCAGATTATGACGCACTGAGTTCTTCCAGCCTTGGTAAGCTCCCCTGAAGAACGGGAACCGTTGTTGGAGGAAGGAATATATTTCTGAGAGGGTCAGCCTCTTCCCTGGACTCGACTGGATCGCCATTACGATCAACGCTATGTAGGAGTAGGGCGGTTTCTCTTGACGACGGGCACCAGGTTTCCTTGGTAGCTCCGTACTGGTTGGATTGCACATCAACGGGTCCAGGCTCTGGTCCTGGGTCAGACCAGCTGTGATGGACAGGCTGCCTCGTGGTACCACGGAGTTCGTATGAGCAAGAGTGGACTGATCGTGCAGGTGCATACTCGCGTCGGACTCGTTCTTCATGGCTAGCCTCGCGGTCTCGGTTGCGACCCGAGGATTCGACGGGACGATCACGGTCTGGTCCATGGTGTCTACCGTTCGTCACGCCGCGACGGACATTCTAAGACCGTAATTACTCGAATCCCTTGAAATTCAGGTTTATTCACTTCACCGACTATAAAACGACGTTAGTCTCTTCAAACAACTAACTCCTTACACAATCGTACTGACATACCAGGTACTAACCAGACAATCCAGTGAATTAATCGATACTTTATCCTTCGCGAAAACTGAACCGTACGGGTGAATGTGGTCACTACTCTATCACTAATTTCTTAAATTCCGTAAAAATATCTGTCCACCGTTTGTACACTATACGTGTCCAGATACACCAATATCACTCGCGTGGCGGCCGTTTCCCCCTCCCCACCTTTGATAATCACAATATAACGAGGAAAAGAGAAGGTGGTCGTTATTTACTACGGCGCGGCCCCGATGTAAATTGTTTGCACGCGAGAGCGCCCGCACGGTGGGGTCAATTATTTAGACTTGCCACTCGGTCGGAACGGGTTGCACCGATGCGCTCCGGGAAATGTTTTCGGATGACTGGTCCACGGGCTCGGCTCGGAACTCGGCGGAGGCTGCGTCGCGATGACGCGCGCCACAGGCAGCCTTCGTCGCTGTGGGGGGGCGTGGCCAGACGGTGGGCGGTGACGCGGCACCGCAGTGGCTGACGCTCGGTGAACGACGCTGCGGCTCCCAGTGGCGGCCAATGGGAAGTCACCCCCCACCAAGCATCCAATTGGATCACGCCTGACCGATTCACGACGCTTGCGGGGCTGTGACGAGGGAATGAGAACCGGGAGGATGAGTAATGAGCAATCGATTGCGTAACTTCCTTGGTTTTCATTGTTACGGAATCGTGGTGATTATTATTCGGCCGGTATTCATTGGATTTGTTGGAAGTGTTCGGATTGATTGAGGTGCTTGAGAGGTTGTTGGGGTCTCACGGAAGGTTCGCTGTCGGTTTTTGTGGATGCTTGTTTGATTTGCGGTCGCGTGTGTGTTTGTTTTAACGTTAATCTGGAATGTAATGGGTATTATTTTGTATGATTGTACACTTCGTTCTGCTTGTGTACTGCCGTTTGAGCACGAATGGAATGTCGACTGATGTTACTCGTAAATTTTGTACAATGTGTTTTATTTGGACGGTTTTGTCTGTTGGTCGTCTAGTTTGTTGGGGCGTTGACAAATGTGGTGTTATTGAGATTGTTATTTAATAATGGTGATTACATGGTGGGCCTGACATCCCCTGATTTTGATATGGGACTTTGCCTTTCAAATTAGATATGAATGTTTGTCATAAAATTTCAGACACTACAAATATTACGATTAACACTTTGCTGGTGGGAGGATTTTTGTGTTTACAAATATACAACTTCGGGTGTTTGAAAAATAGTTAGAAACTATGTACTACTTGAACTTTTATTTGTTTTTTACTATTTTAGTTCTTATTTAGGAAACATGTTATGTCAACCGATCACAACTTTTGTTTTTGGAAAGACGTACTACTACGTCATCCGACATTAAAGTGTTAACATTTTTCTGTTTGATTAAAAATTCGATATTTTATACATCTTATTATTATCCTGTAGATTTTATACATTTACAGCATATGCAACAAATCGAAGAAAATTTCTATAGTTAAAATGGTATTCTTAAAACTATAAATTTTGTGCGACTTAAAATTTTCTATTTCGAATTGTATCCATGTTGAAGTATTCACGAAATCATTATTTGTCTACTATAATTAATTAAATATAAATTTCTCTCTTATATAAAAGATTTTATTAACTCGCAACGAGAAAATAAAATGATATTCTTAATTTACTCGTTGAGAGGAATTTCTGTTTAATTAATTATTGTGGACAAATGATGAATTCTTGTAAATTTCAGCACGGACACAATTACACAAATCAATTTCCTTTTATTATAGAGGACATTCGTTCACCGAATACATTGTCTTCAGAAGCGGTTAGGAGCAACAGAGTATTATACGTAGTGAATTTCACAATTCCGGGTTGTTTGCCAGCAACGGAGCACGAAAAAGCCCCACGAACCGATTGGTCCACCTGTTGGCCAACGAGATGTTTGGACCCACGCTCCGCCCGAGAATAGAACCGCCCCTCCTTCCTGTTCTTCTCCCTGAATTTCTGTCTCATCGTCGATTATACTGAATTTAGTCCCACTTTCCCGGAAATTTTAATCGTGATACCATCTTCATTCAATTTCTATTACTCGGATGAAAAATATTTTTAGACAACCACGGACACTTGTCACCGTAAAAAGACATTATTATTAAGCAATTACATACGTTTTCGTACCGGTCAGCATTAATGGGTTAATGTAAAATCAAAGCCAACAAAATTATAATTTGTTCTTGAAGGGTGACGTTATACTTCTCCCTACGAATTTCCTACGTCTCCTTATCGCAGGACCCTCTGTCATCGTGGCTAGGCTATAACAAACCGCTCGTCAATTGGCTCGTTGATCGCAGTCAATCGGAGAGAAGTGTTTATCCATCGAAGCACGTGACAGAGTGTCGATTAACCGGGCCTGAAAGGATGGAGATTGACGCTTATCAAAAGCCCCGACATTATTATGATCCTTGAAAGACCTGGTCCACATCTCGACGAAGTTTCTGCTCCAGAAACTTCGTCGTACGAAATTCTGTTCATTCTAATATTCAATCATCCTCCTCTTATTTTGCATTCAATATTTATTCACTGTTTCTAAATGAGTATTTTGTATCCACTGTTATTCTACTCACGGAAGATAAAAAAAATAGAGATAATTATTCGTAATATGAAGTAGACGCTAGATATTATTGGCAGAATGTCTATTCAATTCGTCCTTAACCCTTTAACACCTAGACCCTGAAATCGTTATTTCAAAATTATGAGACTGATATATATATATATATATATAGTTTTCAAACTAGTTTTTTAATTCTTTAAAATTTATTTTTCGCCCCTGAACGCACAAACACCTTTTTCGGAGAAAAAAATTATTTCTCACGATTAGTTAACTCAAAAATGGTCCCAGTAGGTGGACCTCATTAACATTAAGGTACCAAACCATACTAAAACTCTACGACAATTTCCGAGTTGTGAAGATTTACTATTGCATTAGTTTTTAATTAGATTCCACAGTATGATAAGACATTATTGGAGTCTAATTTTGTGGTTCCTTAATATTAAGGTATCAAACCATAATAGATCTTTACTGTAATTTCAGAGTTGTGACAATTATAAAACGACAGTGACGTTAATTTTCCATTGCCGAAGAACATACAGTACTCAAAATTCTCGACTATGGATATATTCTGACGGTTAGAATCGCGTATGTTCCGCGAAACACGGAAATTTGGTAACGTAACATCACGAGAGCGATCATTTACTGTCATCCACCCCGTCCGTCCGTCCGTCCGGTGATATCATGGGCCGTGTGCTCTCTAGACCACGAATTCTCAAGGAGTTTGTTTGCGTTACAGCGAACGATCCGACGAAAGAGAAGCGTCACAGCCATCTTGTCTCTGCGCTCCGGCTGCAACGGGTGTTCCTATCTCTCCTCATGAACCGTACCCAGAATTTTCATCCATCTGCTCTTAGACTGAGAAAATTAAATTTAAAAATAAATAATAATTTTTTAATATCTATCCAACAAAGCCCTACATCCTTACAAAAAAATATCGTTGGGCTAGTGAAGCGAGTAATGAGCTGTATCTTATACATTTGTGATAAGTACTATTCCTTTTACCTTCGACGTTAACACGTTGACCGCCACGGTGGTCACCGATGACCGGCACCATTAAATTATATGAAGAAACATTGAATTTTTTAACAGGAACATTCAACATTTCATGAATATAGTTACTAGTATAGTGAGAAGAAAATTAATGAGCGTTCAAGTCAACACGTAAATACTTACATTTTTAATAATAAAAATCTAAACAAACGTATCAGATCATGATACTGTCCTAAGACTAAAACTGTGACGTTCAACGTGTTAATCACGAAGGAATTTTCACAAATTTATTCTTCCGTTTGAATTTTATCTCGAGCCATTCAATTTTCTATGGGACCCGGATATCTTACTATTTTCAACCCGTGTAATAAATTCTCAATTTTACGATCCTCCACTTCGAGGAAAAATTAGAAATGGTGGCTCGGAGACACGTCGAGGGCCTTCGAGAAACGGACGAGGGGACATTTACACGGGTACTCGTTCGAGCCATACAGCGAACCTCGTGCCTTAAGGGTTGAAAACAGTCAAGTGGCTCGTCCTTTCTCCCCAGCTTAGACCACCCCCGTGGTAATAGCCGGCGCTTGGCCAGTGTTTACCATTTTACTGCTTCCAGGCTCCGTGACGTTTTCCGCGACAGCTTCAAGTGGACCCTTGGAACGAAAGGAAGAAAAAAAAAAAAACTAATCGGAGTCCTGGAGCATCCACGACGATGAAGAAAGTTTCTTCTATGGAATCGTGGTCCCTTTATCATTTTTACCGTATTTGTCACGTGGAAAGAAAATAATTCCCGTTATCTCCTTCGAAAGCAAAATAAGCCTTTCCTGAGGCTGGATGGTGTCCCTTTGTTCCACGTTTTTTTTTATTCTTTATGTAAACAGTGCCCGAGTCTCGACTGAATCGCGACAGATCTTCCGATTCCCTTTTTTTTCTCAAGATAAAACAGGGCACTGGCGACCGAGACCACCCGAAGAAAACCCGTTTCGGTCGCACGTGTTCCCGTCGGAAAACCGCAGACCGGAACCAGACATTGCGACCTCACGTGTGCGCGACACGGACTTTCTAGTTTTGTTTACATCCGGCGCGCGCGCGGTAGCCATTTTAATTCCGCGCGAGATGAGGCCTCGAACTCGAGAATGTGATATTTTATGTTTCGAGTTTGATGTTTGATTGCTACTTAATGTTAGAATGTAATTGGAGATGGTGTAAAACGAGAAAATGGTACTTATGTTACTTAAGTAAACAGATTCTCCGCAAGCAAAGCATTCGGACTTAAGAATTTC